TCCAGAAGTTGTGAATGCCCCAACACTGGAAGTCTTTAAGAAAATGTTGGATAGCCATTTGTCTGAAATGGTATAGGGTTTCCTGCCTAGGCAGGGAGTTATACTAGAAGACCCCCAAGGTCCCTTCCAAGTCTGCTATTGTATTATATTGTATTGTTATTGGCACTGCTCATTGACTAAATTTCTATCTGTCAGTTACAAAAAGCCTGTTTAGATCCACATATATCACATGATATAGTATAATATTCTAAGTTCTTGGGAAGATCAACATCAGCTAAGGAACTGGGCAGCTAGGATTAGTGTTATGTATAATATTAAATTAAAATTGTCAAATACTTACTTGGTGCCAGAAAATATCTGAGCCAGGCTATCTAAATGACTAGTCAGACTTTGGCTTCAGTTTTGGGCAGCCTGAATTCAAACATTCTGCCATCTTAGAAATACACTTGCGGGACTTTAAAAACCAGACTCACCGTTTTTGAGGGCACAATGCTATTGTTTAATTTTATATTGTTTTATTTATGTGCAATAAATTTTGTGAATATAAATATAAATTTCTTAATAAATAACATTTAAAAAATTTCTATGTAGCACCATGCAGTTGCCTATAAATACTATAAACAAATAGCAATAATAGTTTGATATATACCAAACAGAGAAATGGGAATATAGCAATAGCACTTAGTCTTATTTACCACTTCACAGTGCTTTACAGCCCTCTCTAAGTGGTTTACAGAGTCAGCATATTGCCCCCAACAATCTGGGTCCTCAATATCACACATTATTTTCTTTATTCTTGTATGACTTGAAGTACAGAGTTTCCAATCCTGCTCAGGTCTAAATTTGTTCCCACTATTACATAAAGAGTTTGTTTTCAAAGGGGAAAAAAGATACAGTGATTATTTTCTTTATTTTGTATATTTGTTTTGGTTTTTGACAGTAGCCTGGAAGGTTGGTGGGGGGAGAGAATAAATATTTGCACCCTAAACTTTTTTGCATTTTGTAAAGGAACAGTGCTAAATTAGAAAAATAATAAAAGTATTACTCAAGTCAAGGACTACTTGTAATACATTTCCATCACACATAAATGCCACTCTTTGGTAGAAAATTTAGCTGTTATTTGTCAGTGGTATAAACCACACCTTCAGAATTCAATCTGTAAGAGTCATAAAATTATTTGTACCTCACGTGAAGTGGTGACCATGACCTAGCATGCGATGTGTAAGTCAATCAAATGCAGACAAAATCACACTGGTTTAAAATCTAATTTGTATATAAATGGAAAACAGCCAAGGAAGTGTGGCACAGACACATTAGAAAACTTGTTAAAAATGAAGAAAGTGATAAAAAGGAAACTCAAGAGGGTTACATCTCTGTAGAATGCTTGGGAGTTACTCAATCCATAATAATAGAAAGTACCAAATTCAAAAGTCACCTCCATGATTAAGACTCAAGGTCAAGGAAGTGGAAAAAAGGCTGTAATAAATAGAAGTCCTGCTCAAACAAAGAGTATGAAAAGGAACAGAAACTTACATGAAAGAAATGCAAGCACAAATGCACAATGATGATAAGGTGGAGGGGGGAGGGGAATTAGTTAGGAAAGTAGGTAGCTGGGCCTTTGTAAGACAAGGAAATTAAAAGAGTACTAAAGGAGAATGTGGAGATTGTAAAGTAGCTGAATGAGAGCATACCTTCATTGCAGTGTATGCAAGACCACTGAGTTAACATCACCAGGAAATCACAGAATGACAGTTGGTCCTACCTGAACTGTTGTTTTAGGAGGTTTTGCAGGATTAGCCAGGATTGGGNGGTAGGTATAAAAAGGTTGTCTACCCCTGATTTAAATACTAGTTTTCCACATAGGATTCTTACCATTTCATAATGTGAAAATGATTGCCTATCGATACCAATGTCAAAAGCATTTACTATGTTTTTCTCAACATATCATATATCAGAGGTGGGTTTCTGCTCATTTGCCCCAGATCGGGTGAACTAGTAGTGGTAGTGGTAAAATAAATTGAAATCCACCACTACCATATATGCTTATAATTCAATTATAAGTAAATTTTATAGAATGTATTATAAAATTGACAATTACCAAAATCTTCCCAAAAACATTCTTCCTTATATCAAGGGCATTATTAGACTTCTTACATTCGAGCTCTGACATCTGTGATTGGCAGCATCTTTCCAAGTTTTCCAGTCAACAACTTTTCTCAATATAATAATTTAGGCAGATTTATTTAGAAATAAAGTTTAAAAGAACAATGTAAAATTTAGTCACCAGAAATGGTGCTGAATACTGCAACTTGAACCTTCTGCATGTAAACTTTCTATTGAATCACAGGCTATCAATGCCCTTTTCCAAAAGAAATTCTACTTAAATATGGAAATGTTGCAACAAGACTGGAGATATCAAAATTATTATAATCAAAGTACCCACAGTAGTACTCAACTTGCAACAGTTCATCTAGTGACCATTTGAGGTGACAACGGCAATGAAAAACGTGACTTATGACCATTTTTCACTCTTACGATCATTGCAACATCCCCAAGGTCATGTGATTTACATTTGGATGCTTGACAACTGGCTCATATTTATGATGGTTGCATAAGTTGAGGACTATCTGTATATCTTTATGAAATACAGAAAATTATATATTGTATAATTTTTTAAAAAATAATATTTTTCTTTTGGTAAATAATTACTTCATTTTTACTTTTGAAAATAAAAAAGCTTTGATCTGAGATGAAACGGTTTCTAAAGAATGTTGAATACTGTAGGGAAAAAATCTGTTCAAAAATCTTTTCATCTGTTGGGGATGAAAATGTTTTATTTCCATAGACATCCAGATGTTTTACTCACATAGCTCCATTTGTGTAGACCGTGTCACTTCCCTCCACATACTGCACCTGGGCTGGATATACATGTTGCACTTGTTGCACAGTTTGTACTTGTTGAACCTATAAATAAAATAGACTGTAAGACAAGCTCTGGGAGTTGGGGGAGGGGGAGATTTATACATTTCATCTGTACAGTTTTAAGACTAGTGAGATATCATCAAACTGCACAGCAAATTTGTACCAAAATATCTACCACACGTAACAAAGATGCTGTTTTTCTCACAGGCAGCATATATTTACTTTTGAATGTACACATTGCTTTTCGGACTGCCTCCAGAGCTCCTCATTCAATGGATAAAGGGACTCTATTATTTACCAAGTTATAAATCACATGTTTTAATTTCAGCTGGAAGGGCTCCATTATTACAAGAAGTTGGAATAATAACACATTTAAACTTACGGTGACTATAAACTGAGTTTTATTTTGAAGTGTTCAATTGCACAAGCTGTTGTTTATAACACTAAGTCTTGCATGCTCCTTTCAGCAACAATCTCCCAGGGCAAGATTGCCCAAAGACAGTCACACAGAACCTGGCACAACGAAGTTGTCTGTGCTGTTAACACCATCTCATAATATGTTCTTTGACCAGATATTTCTAAGCTTGAAGAATGAGGGAACCTCTACCCATTTTTTTAAATTTAGGATCCACACAGCTGTTGAGGTAGCTCTGTTTCCCAGAAATTATTAATTTTACTAGAATATCCATGGCAAACGCACATGGACAGAATAATGATGCCACATGTTGTTACTTACCCTGTAATGACACAAATGTATTTTAAAACATTGAACTAGTACTACAAAGGGCTCTTGGTAATATTTCATCTCTCTTGACAATCACATTTCCCTTATCACATTTCCCTTATCATTTATGTACCACTGAAGTCAAAAAACATTTAATCATCATTATGTTTTCCAACTTTACCTGGAGCCAGAGTTTATTTTATTTGCTAAGTCAGTGTCCAACAAATCATAAATGTAAAATAAAATGCTAAACAATCATTCTCTGGATTGATCAGAAACTGCAATATAAAAACTTCAATATATGAATCACAAAATTGATTTTAAAAAAACACAAAAACTATAATCCACTATTTTATCTTCCCTTATTGGTGGAACGTATCTAGGATTTTTTTGTTCCAATTGGACAAAAATAATATAAGCAATTTCATAGCTTTTAATTATTTAGGTAACTAATTATGAAATATAAAAGGTTCAAGGTTGTACAGTTTGAAAAACTGAACTGATAATAAGATATTGTTTAGCTTTTATCTCTCACTAACTAAAGCATCTTGAAATGTCGCACAAGACATGATATAGGAGGTACTGTTCTCAACAATGACAAAGCACATTTTAGAATAGAGCACAAGTCTTTGGAGTTTAAAATTTTATGAGAATCCCTCTGGTACTTGGAAAGAACATCATAATTCAAGAGAGATTATCATGCAAAACAGGAGTTGGAGGGAAAATAAAGCAGGAGATAGCATAAAAGACAACTTTTCTTTTTGTTCTCCAAATTAATGTACGGTTAAAATTAAAATGAGGAACAGAACCTGAATGTCAAGTCATAGAAAAATTATATGAAAAAAGTGACTTCCGATGACTTCCTATTCTAGGAAAAAATATGGCTTTGCCTGTTTTCCTTTTTAGAATGGATCCAGCAGGTCCCTACCATACAATCAAGTAGACTGCCTTGGTCCATGGCTGTTTTTTCCAACACAAAGCTTTGCAACTGTTCTCAGCTTTTGTTAGCTCTTTCTTCTCTTCTTGCAAAGTTAAAAACTACTAATACTTCTCAGAATGTAAAAGAAAAATAAACTACCATCCATTAAACAGTAAAACTAATGTAATAGTAGTTTATTGTATTCCGAAGGTCTTTCCATGTGGGCTATATGAAAGTTCTTTTCAGTAGCGGAGCTCATGTTATGCAATGCCTCCTCAGTCTGAATACTACACTGATTTTCTTTTGATGCCAGGCAAAATAGTTTATTTTTCTTGAGTTCTTAGTTTTAATCTGCATTTATTCTGAAATTACTATTTTTTATTATGTCTTTCATTGTTGCCAAATCAAAGCAGACCAGAACACAGTTCAAATATTGGTTGTTAAAAATAAAATATACAGTAGTCACAATATAATAGTCAGTCTAAATGTGGACATCCTGGCTCTTATTTTAAGTATCTTAGTTCAAATCAGTGCTATGGAGTTATAATCTTTGTTGCTAAGAGACAACATTTGGCAACTTAAAAAATGCCCTTAGACTTTGTCAGCTAAGAGGAATTCAATGTAAAATTCATTTATATGAAAAATAAATATATAGAGGGTGAATTTAACTGGCTGAGAATGAGGATAAAATTGACAGTGAAATGCCCATGGATGTGTTCATTTCAATCTTCTCTTCAAAACTTGCAAAACTTGCCTTATAAAACAGCTGATAGTAGAGCATTAAATTGAGTTCTGGACAATGCTCATTAATATTTGGGATGATCAGCAAATGGAGCGAAGTTGCCAGACCTGAGCTTTGGAAATGGCTGATGGCTGATACTCATACTTCTTAGAAGTTCCATTTTCATCTGTGACTCTATGTTTCACACTCTGTGTTTAATTACCACTTTAGTGTTACCTAAGCCTAGAGGTAAGAAATACTCGGCTAAAGGTCCCAAGAATATAATATATGTGTAATAAGAAGAATAAGAATAGTATCCACAACAGAGAGCATATGCCATTTTCTGCAAAAAAAAAATGAAGAAACAGTGCACCACCTAGTTAGTTGTTGCAAGAATACTGTCCAGGCTAAAAACAAACAACAGCATGACAAAGTAGCAACAATGGAAGATCTTTAAGAAATACTATTTGCCTGCAAAACAAAAGCTGGTGGGATCATAAAATAGTTGAAGGAAGAGAAAATGAAGCAGCAACATTGCTCTGGAACTTTAGAATTCAAACAGACACACATCTGCCACATAATCTGCCACACTCCAGACTTAAAAATAATATCAATAGGAAAGAAAAGTAGATAGTGTACTTGGCAGAATTGCAAAGACTGCAAAATAGAAGAGAAGTAGAGAAAATTACAAAAAAAAATCTGCAACTAGAAATAAAACTGTGGCAAAAGAAAGCAAAGGTAGTACCAATAGTAATAGCTGCTTTGAGTGTTATAATTTCTTTAACACCATCAAATAACATCTGCCTACCCAGGTTCTTGGAAAAGACTTGATAGGTAAAAAAGAAGTCAAACCCAATGTAAACATCTGTGGGGGGTGGGGGGAAGGAAAGAAGAAATATTCAGCTCATGAAAGAAGATCACTCTAGCTGAATATTCTTTATAAAAAAAGATAGTGTGAATACCAGAGGAAAGCAAAGAAATGGAAAATATCTGAAAATCAAAGTCTAAAGATTATGGCAAAAACTAGATGTGATGGTTCCAATGGTTACTACATCTCTACAGAAATAGAGCACAACAATGATGAGAACTATCTTGAATGCATTTGGGTCAATATTAAAGGTTGGGGAGGAAATGACATTGCCATAGGTNGGAACCTGGCTAATCCTGCAAAACCTCCTAAAACAATAGTTTAGGTAGGACCAACTGTCATTTTGCAGGATTAACCAGGATTGGGACATACCCAAGTTAACATCCCTCGGGGGGGCACTATTGGTCCTGGGCCCCCTCATGCGCTACCGCCTGTTGGAACACCCTACGACCAAACGCCGCATCAGCTGATGCAAATGCATATAACCTGTAGTGCCTGATAAAGGGAGACGGGGACACCCACGTAGCTGCCCTGCAAATCTCCCCGATAGGCGCCTGTGTGGACCAGGCCGCCGAGGTAGCTGCACTCCTGGTAGAGTGTGCTATGATGCCCTGGGGCACAGGAAGGTGCTGAACCTCATAGGCCAATGCGATGGCCAGTTTGATCCACCTCCCTATAGCCGAGGAGGACACCTTCTTCCCCAGGGAAGATGGATAAAAGGAAACAAAGAGCGCCTCAGACTTCCTGAGGCCCTCCGTGCACCTCAGGTAAATGTGCAAGGCACGCCTGACATTCAGCTGGTGCCCAAGGCTCTCCCTATCATGAGATGGGTCCAGACAAAAATCCAGTAATACCACCTCCTGCAACCTGTGGAAAAGAGAGTTAACCTTGGGAACAAAAATCAGATCCAGTCGCAGGACGACCTGATTATTGTGGAATGTAGAAAGATCCAATCTGGAGGACAACACCCCCAGTTCAGAGATGCAATAGGCTGAGGTGACTGCCACAAGGAACACTACTTTAAAGGTTACGAATTTCAGGTCAACCTTCCTCAGAGGTTCGAATGGTGCTCCTGTCAATGCTTGGAGAACTGTAGTGAGGCTCCATGTCAGAAACCTGTGGACTACCGGGGGACAGAGATTCCCCGCACCCTTCAAAAACCTCTTAATTAGCAGGACCTGGGAAAGTGGAAGGAGCACCTCTCTCTCGAATAATCGTGGAGAGGGCCACCACTTGTCTCCTGAGGGTGCCATGTGAGAGCCCCCTATCCAATCCATCTTGGAGGCACTCAAAGACGTGCGGTACCAAAGCTTCGCCCCCTATCCAACCCATCTTGGAGGCACTCAAAGACGTGCGCTACCAAAGGATTCACTCCTGAGACCCGGCACCACTCTGCAAAGACCCGCCAGGTGGAATCATAAATCCTAGTGGTGGAACCCTTGCGTGAAGCCTTAACTGTGGAAATCACCCTCTGTGAAAGCTGGGCTGCCCTTAGGTGCTCCCGCTCAATCTCCACATGGCTAGCTGCAGCCACTGTGGCTCGGGATGCACCAGGTTCCCCTGTCTGAGGTCCACATCCCTCCCCGGGATCCTCCATGGGTGTGACACTGACAGGCACATTAGGTCTGCAAACCATGCCCGGCGCAGCCAGTAGGACGCCACTAAGGTGAGCTCCGCCTTCTCTGATATCACTTTCCAAACTATCCCAGGGTGAAGGGGAAGGAGAGGGAAGGCGTAGAGCAGGCCCTCCGGCCACGGAATCCGAAGCGCGTTGACTCCCTCCGTCCCCGAGCCAGGAAATGAGATAAGA